AAATTGAATATAGTTTACATATAACAACAATTGAGGTCTCAATTATAATTATTGTATAACTCTTTACTTTTAATTTGACAACAACAGCAAACCTATTGTAATCATGACATTTTGAACAAAAAATAAGTTAAGTTTTACAGACTCATCAATAATGCACTAAAGAAGACTTAATTTATTTTAATATGAAAATTATTAGGACATTGTTTTTATTGGAAATTATATTCATCTACATCAATACTCATCTTATTTAGTACTACTTTTATTATAAGTTAAAATTACTCATTTTGATTATATTAAAAATAATCATTTTTATTTTATATTAATTATTAATATTTAAAAATTATACTAAATATTTACTTATTTTAATTTTTGTGTTGGACATTAATATACTGTTTTTTATTATATTAAAAACCCCCACCCTCTCCCACTGCCGGGAGATGAAAAGTAGGCAAATTATGCTTTGGACTTGGTTTCACTTTATAAGGTGGACCCAGGTTATAATATTCACAATTTTTGAACTCTATATTCAACATTTTTGAACTTTATACTCACAATTTTAGAACTGAATATTCACAATGTTAGATCTCAATATACAAAATTACAAAACTCAATATTCACAATTGCAAAACTCTAGCTATACTCACAATTTTTGAACTCTATATTCACAATTTTAGAACTGAATTTTCACAATTTTAGATCTCAATATACAAAATTGTAGAACTCTATATTCACAATTTTTGAACTCTATACTCACAACTATAGAATTCTATATTCACAATTTCATAACTCTATATTCACAATTAAAAAACTATATATGCATAATTACAGAACTGAATATTCACTCGCTGAGTTGTTTTCAATAATTTTTTTTGAAAATAAATCATTGGCTGTGGAAACGGTGTCACTAACGGTACCGTTATTTTTACACGCGCAAACTACATCGTTTTGGACTGAATTCACATTGCAAGGTGGACCCGGGTGCATGACACAACTATTGTGAAAAGTATGTATAATTTGATTCATATTTGTATTGATTAGTGAAGGAGTTTTTGTTTTACAGTGTGTTGAGAATATATGTGGTTGATGTTTTCTGTTTATACTTATTCAAATTATATTCCTTTAGAATAGGTATATTAGAGTATGTTAGGAATATAGCGGAATAATGCGGAAGCGAATGATCGAAAATTGAGAATTATAGAAGTTAAATAATAGGGAAAATATATAAATGAAGAAAATTATAGAAATGACAAATAAATTAATAAGGATGGGAAAATATAAATATATATATTAATCTCTATAAAGAGAAAGATAAATAATATATATATAATACTCTACGTGGGGACAAAAAGAAATAGGAAGGATGAATTGATAATGATTGATGCATTAATTACAAAGCTTAAACAAGCTATTTATACATAGAGAAAGAAACTCATTATGCGGCATGCAAAGGATTAGAGTAAAAGGCGCAAGAACGTGTAGGAAGAGGCTGATGTGCGCATGCAACGCGGGAGGACATGGTCTGAAGGATTTTGAGCCACACACTATTTTCTAACAATCTCCATCTTGGATCAAATCCATTGTGGAATTAACAACTGGAACAGCCAACTAAACTCAAGCACTGCTTGAACTTAGCAACAGGAAGAACCTTAGAATAGCAGGATGGATCACCATCAACTTCCTGTGTGACTGAAAGAGCATAATCTTTAGTATTACCATCCGTGATAGTAATACTATCAATAGGCCTGAATTCAAACTCCATCTTCTCACCAGTACTTTGCGTCTCATCTGTACTGGGAGCTTTTCCAGTAGAAAGTAGTGCATTTTCGTCAAAAGTGATATCTCGACTCAGAATGATTTTCTGAGAATCAGGATACCATAGGCGATACCCTTTTGACTCAGAGGCATAACCAAAGAAAATGCATTTGACAGCTCTCGGGTTTAATTTACCCGTACTGGAATGAGCATAAGCAGGACATCCAAAAACTCTTAAGATAGAGTAATCAACAGGATTACCTGACCAAACTTCCTCTGGAATTTTGAAATCAAGGGATGAATGTGGAGATCTATTTACCAAATAGCAAGCAGTAGAAACGGCCTCGGCCCAAAAATCACGCCGTTTACATAACCCAACATTAGAGAGCATACAACGAGCTCTTTCCAATAGAGTCCTGTTCAAACGTTCGTCAACACCATTCTGCTGGGGTTTACCAGGCAAGGTCTTGTGCCTGGCAATTCCATTTGTCGCACAAAAGTCATTGAAATCTGACTCACAAAACTCCAAGCCATTGTCTGTCCTGAGCTTCTTGACTTTTTTACCTGTCTGAGTCTCAATAAGTATTTTCCATTTCTTGAAAATAGAAAATGCTTGATTTTTATGTTTCAGGAAATAGACCCAGACTTTACGAGAAAAGTCATCAATAATAGACATAAAATATCTACAGCCTCCCATAGACTGGAATTTAGTCGGTCCCCATAAATCGGAATGTATATATTCCAATACATCTTTGGTGCGGTGTGTAGCAGCAGAGAAACTAACCCTCTTTTGTTTCCCAAAAATACAATGCTCACAAAATTGTAATTTACCCTCTTTTGAATTTGCATTGTAAATGCATCAATTTGAATTCTTTCCTTCTTTATCTTTTAGCTATCTCACGTGAATATATATATATATATATATATATATATATATATATATATATATATATATATACTTATATTTTCCATTGTTCGTTATTCATATGTCACTTATATAATTTTCCTTATTCTATTATTTAACTTCTATAATTCTCAATTTTTGATTCTTCGCTTTCGCATTATTCCGCTATATTCCTAACAAGTGGTATCAAAGCGGTTTAATTGAGAGTTATTTTCAAAGATGTCGACTGTTACCAAGTTCGATATCGAGAAGTTCGACGGGAAAATTAGCTTTTCTATCTGGAAGGTTCAGATGGAAGCCGTTCTAACCCAGAACGGTTTGAAGAAAGCGCTAGCTGGGAAGAAGAAGAAACCGGCTACAATGACAGATGAAGATGGGAAGATTTGGATGACAAGGCACGTTCAACCATTCTTTTGTGCCTGTCTAAAGAGGTTCTACGTGAGGTATTATGTGAGATGACTGCGTCAGATTTATGGTCCAAGCTGGATACGCTTTTCATGGCTAAAACTCTGGCGAACACACTACACCTGAAGGAGCGTCTGTACACAATCCGTATGACGGAAGGTACTTCTATTAAATCTCACTTAGATGAATTCAATTCTATTTTATTGGACTTGGAAAATATTGATATCATAATTGAAGATGAGGATCGCGCTGTTTTATTGCTTGTCTCTCTCCCTAAATCATACAAGCATTTCAAAGAAATTATGCTGTATGGTAATAGTAGTGATACCCTTACTTTTGACAATGTTAAGTCAAACCTATTGTCCAAAGAAAAGTTTGACTTTGAAATTAAGTCTGAGGACAAAGGTGAAGGCTTGACTGTAAGGGGTCATTCACTTGAAACAGAGAGTAGCAATAAAAAATCTAGATCCAAGTCCAACAAATCTTGTAAGTACTGCAAGAAGCATGGTCATGATGTGACTGAATGCTTCAAGCTGAAAAACAAGCAAGAGAGAGAAAAGAAGCCCGCTGAAGCTAGTGTTGTTGAAAGTGATTCAGATGGTGATGTGTTGTTATCTGTTAGCTCCGGTCAGAAACGGAGTGAAACCGAGTGGATTTTGGACTCTGGTTGTACATTCCACATGTGTCCCCACAAAGATTGGTTCATTTCTCTGGAACCGGTTGATGGTGGAGTTGTCTTGTTGGGTAATGATACGCAATGCAAGGTTAGTGGAATTGGAAGTGTTCAGATTAAAACTCATGATAACGTTGTCAGGACTCTTACCAATGTTCGGTATATTCCTGATTTGAAACGCAATCTGATATCATTGGGCACCTTGGAATCTCTGGGGTGCAAGTACACAGCTGAAGGTGGAGTTCTAAAGGTCATCAAAGGCTCTTTTGTTCTCATGAAAGCTTCTCGATCTGGAAGCTTGTACGTCTTGCATGGCAGTACTGTGACAGGTTCAGTTGCGGTATCCTCATCAATGTTTGATGCATCTACTAGCACTGCACCTCTCGTCGAGCCACAATGAGAGTATTCCATTGCTATGGATCGTCCTATGAGGACAATTAAAAAACCTGCTAGGTATGCTAGTGATGATGAAAACAACTTGGTTTCTTATGTTCTTTCAGTCACACAGGAGGTTGATGGTGATCCATCCTACTATTCTGAGGTTCTTCCTGTTACTAAGTTCACGCAGTGTTTGAGTTTAGTCGACTGTTCCAGTTGTTAATTCCATGATGAATTTGATCCAAGGTGGAGATTGTTAGGACATAAATAATAATTTGTGGCTAAAATTCATCCATGAAGACCATTTCACCATGTTGGAATCGCTGGCGTCACATGCATGTTCACGTCCTACACGTCTCTCCGTCTTTGGTGCTTCTTCTCATCTTTGCCGCAACATTTGCTGTCCTTTAGAGTATAAATAGGCTTTGAATTTGCATTGTAAATCATCCCTTGCATCAATTCCATTGAATTCATTCTCTTTCTTTCTTTCTTTCTCCCTCACGTAGATTTATACACACACACACACACACACACACACACACACACACACACACACATATATATATATATATATATATATTCCTTTTATATTCTCTTTTGATATATTTTATATTTTCCCTTTATTAATTATTTATTTGTCATTTATATATTTTCCCTATTAATTAACTTCTATAATTCTCAATTTTCGATTCTTCGCTTCCGCATTATTCCGATATATTCCTAACAGAGTAGTGGTTACAACTTCTTAGCTACTTGTTCTCCTGTATATACTATTTATACCTGTTAGCTTCTTCATCAATATACAACAGTTCATTTCCTTACATGGTATCAAGAGGCAGAACCTCCTACAAAAGTTTTTTTTTTCTTCTTTCTTTCACCCTTTATCAAATGGCTGCCACTACTGATATCATTTACCTTTCTGCCACGTCTAATTTTCCCATTACACTTACCTCCACAAATTTCCCAGCCTGGAGGCGCCAGGTTCACTCTACACTCGTTGGCTTCAACCTCCACGGCTATGTTGATGGTTCTGTCCAAGAACCACCCAAGTTTGCTGGTTCGGCTCAAACAGCCACAAACCCAGATTATTTACTTTGGGTTCGTCAAGACCAAATCATCGTCAGTGCACTCTTAGGGAGTTCTTCTGACTCGATTCAACCCCTCGTGTCTTCGGCCTCAACAGCCTATGATGCTTGGCAACACCTAACCACTACTTACGCTAGTGCCTCTCGAGGTCGTATACTTTCCCTCAAAGCCAAGCTCACTCAAAATCCGAGAGGTACTCGGTCGATTACTGTATTTTTGAATGACATGCGATCTATCGCTGATGCACTCGCGTTGGCGCAGTCCCCGGTCTCTGATGAAGATCTTGTCGTGTACATTCTAACGCAGCTCGGAGATGAATATAATTCAATCATCTCTACTATTCGCGTTCGACAGAAGCCTATTTGCTTAGCGGAACTAGCCGATGTTCTTATTGGTCATGAAGTCGATAACCGAGCACGCCAAACCGTGTTGGCTACTGCCAATGTCACTCACCGGAATACTCAACGGTCTACTTCCGGCCGAAGGTTTCAATATACATTCATTTCCTTACACAGTGAACTTTTGCAATTTCCAAATTCTTGTTACGTAATGGACTCTATTGAATCGTCATTGCTCGACTTGTTTAAGAGGAAGCTGAATCGTTGCCGGAGATTAAGGCTCCAGACCGGGATCCATGGAGCTCCAAGACCCGTGAGAATCCGTTCAACACTCCTCGCCGGAGTTGAAACCCCTGTTCCGCGCTCTCCTTGAAAGCAGTTAGACAGGTGGTGCTGAAGCTCAGAAAATCAGATCCGAAACAGCATGCTCAAGCAGATTCACTTTTGAGCTCCGACGCAGGGCAGATTGCTTCCGAACCTCAATCTCCACCTGCAAAACCTGAACCTCTGCCTGTAGTTTGCTTCCAGACTGGGAGACGAAGATCTCCATGGCGGGAGATGAAGGGACTTCGTCTCCGGCGGAGGCTGAGGCAGGGGTGGTTTTTTTTTTTTTTTTTAATAATTATTTTATTACAATTATTAAAATAACTAGTATTTTATATGCGCGATGCGCAAAAAATATATGCCCAATATTAAAATTAAATATTAAAATTTTAGTTATATTAATTTTTTAAAAATAATAGTGTATATATATATATATATATATATATATATATATATATATATATATATAATTCATATTAATATTATTGAGGTAAAAATTATAGAAATGATAATTTACTAAATATAACTATGGTAACATTTTAATTAAAACATAAATGAATTTAAATTTACCATTGAAGGATGTAAGAAAAAATATTGTGTATGCATGTACATGGTAATAATAATGGGGAAAGATAACAGAAGTTATAACATCAGGGATATTTTTGTCCAAAAAATTATGTAGTACAACTTTTATAGCACAAGGTACAAAAAAAATTAACGGAAAACATAGACATAAATCAGGGGTATAACCTGGATTGAAGCTTATTATGTTTTTAGAAATAGAAAAATTATTTTTAAATTTGGTAACTGTCACGCCAATTTATTACCAAGTCAACATGTCATTTTAGGTTGAATTGCATGGATTTGTATTGATTGAGGACCTAATTGTAATTTTTCTGAGTTCAATGCGTTAATTGCAGTTTGATGTGTAGTTGGATGACCTTTATTCCTAAGGGGGCGTTTGGTTCATGGAATGTTATATTACCTCAAGGAATGTTGGATTGTTGAGAATGTTAGATTCCTGTGTTTGATTTAAAACTAAGGTATGTAAATAAGATAATAGATAACAAGACAAATTGATTAAAATGTCAAAAGTCCAAAATTAGTAATAAAACAAGAGAATGTGAGATTACCTAAGAAATTGGAGAGTATATTAGATTCCCATCCAATAACTAAAAACTTAATGTGGAGATTGTGTGACATTTTTTGAAATAAGTTACATAACCTAAATCAAACATGAGAATATTATATTCTCAAGCAAATATAGCCTTAGTTATCTTATATAATATGAACCAAAAACCTCCTAAAAGAAATAATCACAAGTATTGTACGTGGTCCATACTAATTTATATTTACTAGCCAACATGAATATCAAACGTTACTTTATTATTATAACGCAATAATTTGTGTAAGACCGTTTTACAAATTTTTTACTGTGAGACAGATTGAATTGTAAATAACTGGGTGAGATACTCTAAAAAGATACATTTTGTATGTACCATAATTTCAGTTATAAATATTAAAATATTTGTCATTAACAATAATCAATCTTATTTTAAATGATATCAAATTTCACATATAAATAGGGTATTAAATTTTTGTAATAAACTTTATGATTTCGATAATGAGTAACAAGTAACTATTTCAAATTCGACCTATGGATTAAGATTCATGAAACGCTAACACTAGTGTGACTCTCATTATAAAATTATAAATGTTGCAACAAAGGTGTTCTTAAATAAAAGAAAAAAGAAGCCAAGGACCTTGATGGCACCAAGTTGCTCCTTCATAAGGGAGGTTGTGATTTGAGCCTTAGTGGAGGCGATATTGACTCTTTATTTTCATTTAGTTGAAAAAGTAATTATGAACAGATACTACATTATAATAAAGTCAACTAAACCAATGTAAATGTCGCTGAGGAGGCCCCTTGAGCTATATCCACCCGCTGCCTCAAAGTCTTTCATTGATTTTTTTTTTTTTTTTCTGTGTAAATAACATGCATGATTCATTAATTAAAGGAGACCTCAAAGTCTTTCATTGATAATTTATTATTAGAGCTTCCCGCTTCTGAGCTACTAAAATACAGAACGTTCTTGTGAAATCATTTAATTTTTGGTTGAACTCAATTATATTACCACTCTGAGGTTCTTTCTTGCAAGTTCTTACAAAATCATGAAAGGCATCCTCCACATTTTTTATAAGTGGTGATTTCAGTCGATTTGCTCTAATTTTCCTTCCCCTTTTCCAGTAACTTTCTACTATCGTAGCAAAAGCTATTGAAACTGGATACCATTGAGATACTTGATCTTGTTGCTTCCGAAGCGAGTGCTTTACAGCAGCTACAGTACAATTCAAAATAAACATAAAAAACCAAGCTCCGATTTCAACCAGTAGATCAATTGACGGCCTTGTGTTTGTCTTATTATACTCTCTAACACTCAAACGTATCCAATACGTTAGTCCAAAGAAAGCGACCGTAATGTGGAAAGAGGTTAACAAATAGCTTAGTGACATAATATCCCATGAATTTTCAACAACGTTGTCAAACGACATCAACATCCATAAACCGAAAATTAATCCAGTGCTATCAATGAAATTTCTCTTAAAGAGTACCAATGTGATCACAATAATGATGACAAAACCTCCAATTAGTGCAATAGATTTTTCAAGGGGATACTTATCTGCAAAAAGATAGCAGGCGTCTCTAATAAAAAATTGAAATATTAATAACTGGGTTAAAACTTATAATCTTATATACCTGACCTATATCCTTCCAAGACGGAGGAACAGAATCTTTTGGCAGCAGCTCCGTCCTCACTTTTGTGATGGCTAAGAGTAGTAAATACAAGGACACTATGAAATGAATTTTGATTGTCATAGCTGCTTGTTGACGGTTAGAGGATGTGTATAAGCTTTCCCCTCTGGATAATGTTGCTCAATGCAATTTGAAGATGAGTTAAGATGATGGTGGAGCTTTTATAGATTTAGATTCCTCTTCTCTTGCGAATTAAAGCGAACAGGAAAAGAAAAATAAAATAAAATAAAAAGTTGCAATTTGATGTAAGCTAACCTATCCTATTATATTGTTTGCCCGCAGCTAGCTAGTTAAGCATAGGAGCCTCACCTTCTATATATCTGTTAAAGCTAGGGGAAAGAGAATAGCGTAAAAAAGAAGTCACATGGTGTGTCGAGATGGAAATGGGTTCAAATGACTTTCTACCACTCTTATAATTTCACCACTTGCACTCCCACACTCCATAATTGACATTTAAAAAACTCACAACAATGCGTTGTGTGGCCGTTAAAAATGACGTTGTTTTTTATGTTCAAATTTTATGTGTATTATGTTATGAGTTTACGTGTATTATGTTAAGAGTGAAATAAGTTTGGTGGTTTGAACGGGCTAGCCCAATAACTCAAGTCACTTAAGGCTATTTCTATATTATTCATAATTTTTGTACTGTAGATTCATAATATCTGTAACAACAAATGAAAAACAAAATTATCTACGTTTTCAAAAAAAAAAATAAATTATGAATCTACGTTTTAAAAAAAAAAAAAAAATTATGAATCTACGTTTTCAAAAAAAAAATTTATGAATTTATAGTATAGAAATTATGGATCTACCCATGTATTCATCATGCGCATGGTGAACACGTTTCCACAGCATAATTTACCTAATTTATGGGTCACACTTGTGTAAAACCGTCGACGGGTCGAGTCGGATAAATATAAAAATGTGATACTTATACTAACAAATGTAATACTAATTAGCAATAAAGTGTTTATTACTTATAAGAGAAAATATAATACTTTTGAAGACAAATATAATAATACTTTTACATTTTGATGTAAAAGTATTACATTTTTCATCAAAAATATTGGATTTTGCCTTTGTAATGTTGGCAAATGTTTGTTACGTGAAAATGAAATTTAACTACTTTTAAATCAAAATGTAAAAGTATAACATTTTTCTTCAAAAATATTATATTTTTCCGTATAAGTAATAAACATTTTATTCTTTATTAGTATTACATTGTCTAGTATAAGTATTACATTTGATTTTGACTCAACATATCTCATGGATCCTTGTCCGTGAGACAGTCTCAAATAAATTTTTGCATAGTTTTATGTAACTTAACCTTTAGTATTTTTATTAAATTTTAAAAGGGAAAATGGCGAGTTTGGTTCTTAAGTTATAATGGTAGTGATGACTTAGTCCCTGAGTTATAACTGTATCCATTTTTAGTCCCTCAGTTATGAGTGAAGTGGCGCATTTTGTCCCCGACCGTTAAAACTGACAGAAAAATTAAAAAAATATTTAAAATTTTAGGGGTAAAGTATGAAATCCACATTCTATTCACTTTCTTATATTGAAACCACTTTTACAACATTATTTTCAACTTCTTAGCATTCTTAATTTTAAGGTTCTTCAATTTCAAAAACAATTCAATAATCTTCTTATGACTTGTCAGTAACCTGAGTCTCGTATAAGGAACCTATGACTCAGTACAAACAAGAGAACACTTGATCATTGTCTTCAAGCATGCAAAACATACCATCTTAAAAGTTTCTGATTTCCCTTACTAAACATAATGGTAATAAAACCATAACTTTTGAAATACAAGAAGATATCAAATTTCTCAGGTTATTTTTATGACAAATTCACCAAGGGAGTAACTTGAGATTTTTAGTACGTAAAATTCTTTTGTATGCTCTGCAGTAACTTAATCAATTGCAAGAATCGTATATCTTGACAATATATGAAAAATATATTTTATATATATCAATCACCTCCAATCCTCTGTCTTCTTAAAAACCAGAGTAATAATGAATGAGGAACCTAAGACTCAGTTATGAAAATTCTAAAAACTTTTGTAACTTTTAAAAACGATTATTGACTAAACTACTGCATATTAAAAAATTTTACATGCTAAAAATCTCAAGTTATTCCGTTGGTGAATTTCTCATAAAAGCAACCTGAGAAATTTGATGTCATTTTGTATCTCAAAAGTTCTGGTTTGAGTACATTTGTTGCTTAGTAAAGAAAATTGATAGGATAGTGTGTTTCACATGTCTGAAGACAATGATCAAGTGTTTCTTTGTTTGTGCTAAGTCTTAAGTTTATTATACGAGAGTCAGGTTCCTAACAAGTCATACTAAAGTTATTGAAATGCTTTTAGAATTGAACAATCTTGAAATAAGAGGCTAAGAAATGAAAAATAATGTGTGATTTTGATATAAGGAGAATAAAATGTGAGTTTCCTATTTTACCCCTCAAATTTTAAATATTTTTAAATTTTTTCGTCAGTTTTAATGGTCGTGGACCAAATGCACCACTTCGTTCATAACTGAGGGACTAAAAATGGATATAGTCATAACTCAGGGACTGAGTCGGAACTTAGGTATAACTCAGGGGCTAAAGATGCAATTTTCCCTTTAAATAAAATTGTAATAAATTTATTTATGAATTTATTACAAAATAAAATATTTTTTAGAAATAAATAATAAAAAAAACTCACTATTATTATAGTGTAAGTATATTAATTATTTTTAGGCTCTGTTTGACAGAGCATATTTAGGAGCTTATAGTTTATTTTAAGCTACTAATAAGCTATAAACTCTGTTTGATAATGTTCCCAAAATAAGCTCCTAGCTTAAACTAAGAGCTTATTTTGGAACGCTACCTTAAGATAGCGTTTCAAAATAAGCTCCTAGTTTCCTAACTTTTTTTTTTTTTCATCTTTATCCTTATTATTTTAAAGAAATGACATAATTTACCCTTCCCAATTAAAACTATTTTTTCTCTACTCCTTTATCCGCAACTTTCACCGCAAATATTATTATTATTATTATTATTATTATTATTATTATTATTATTATTATTATTATTATTATTATTATTATTATTATTATTATTATTATTATTATATTTGTAACAATATTGTTACTTCATTATGATATGCTAGATCATGATTATGCTAATAGTTTTATTTCAAAATGTTAATTTTTTTAAAGACAAAATGTTAAATTTTAATATGTAAACAAACTAATTTAAATTTTATAAAAATGTCGTTTTTAGTCTTTTTACATTTATCAGCTTATCAAAAAGCTAATTTTACCAAACACTTTCAATCATAACAGCTAGCTTAACAACTCTTTAGTTTTCAGTTCCGAGCTTATTGCTTTTCAGCTTTAAGCTCATTTTCAGCTTTCAGCTCATAACTTATAGCTTTTCAGCTAATTTTGCCAAACAGAGCCTTAGTTGGACTCTTATGAATTTAAAATCATGAAGCCGCCTGTACGATGGAGCTGTTCAACTTCATCTACCAAGTCAAAACTCTCCCGGGCAGCTACGGGGGCGGGTTCTTGATGCTACAGTCCCGAGCCGACATGTGCGCAATCAGAGGCTTGCCCGGGAACAACAGGGGGTGGAAGAACAGGATTTTCTCCCTCAAATATGACCCCTGGATCCTCCCGGTTGACCGCGCTTGGAGCACCCATTTTCGGAAACAAGTGGTGCCGGTCGAGACGCAAGCGCTCAGGGAGACGGTCAGTCGGATCTCGAGCGAGCTGCACGAGCACACAATCTTCCGGACGGCTGAAAGTCTTGAAGCAGCCAAGCTCCCGCCCCCTACGTACGAGCTACAGGAGAAATACCTGCTCGTGCCGATGGGCGTGACGGTCGCCAAACCGTCGAGGCGAACGAAGAAAGGTTTTAACTCGAGCTAACCTTCCCGACTTAACTTTATGCCTCGATCACACTAACTTGATCTCTTTGTTTGCAGCTATGGCCGAATTCGGTGATGAAGACACTTCCCTTCCCCCGCCCACCAAGATCTCCCTGGGCGGCAAGAAGAAGGCGAAAGCCAAGCCAGCCGGGGAAAAGGAGATCCCCTCGGCCCGACCCCTAAGCGCCTCGACCGTGACGACGGGCGAGGGCTTTATCGTCGAGCCATCCGATGTCTTGGTCGCCCGGGTAGAAGTTGCCCGGGGAAAAGAGAAGGTGCCCGAGCAGGGCGTGAGGGAGGTGGGCGGCATGAAACGCCGCCGTGAGCAACGCAGCCCGAGCCCTTCGGTCGGGCGAGAAAGGGACGCTTCGTCCATATTGGCCCGCATTGGCAATGCGGGGCGGGCCAAAGAAGATATGGGGAAGATGACCCCCACACAGGTAGCCGAGAGGATCGGCTATAATCTGGCCGAGGTAAGCCTTCTTTAGCTATCCATCTTTCATCTTTTGTGCAAGTGCCTTCGACCGGGCTAACCCCGACTGTTTTTGCCTTTGCAGATCTCCCGAGCGGCCCAACTACTACAGGGCCGGGCCATGCTGGCCGAGGAGGCCGACCACCACAAGAAGACGGCCGTCCGTCGCCTTCTGGAGGTTAAATAGCTCCAAGCCGAGCTCGAGAAGGCTCAAAAGGCCTTGAAGAAGAGCGAGGAAGACCGGGCCCTTGCAGAGAAGGTCGCCCAGCGGGCGATCGGCGAGAACAAGGAATTGAAGACCCGCCTGGAGAGCCCGGAGGAGCTGGCCCATTCGGCTTTCAAGGACGATCAGATCGGCTCGGCCTTCCTCACAGCTGCTCGGAGGACCAAGGTCGGGGAGGACCTGATTCTCTCCTTTGGTCGGTGGGCCTTCAAGGCCGGCCAAAGGAAGATGTTAGAAAAGGCCCAGAAACGGTTGGGGGAAGCCCTCGAAGGCGACGACCTCCAACTCGTACTGTCTGCCCTTCCTCCCGACCTAGCTGACCCTGGCCCCTCTCCCTTTGCTCCGAAAGAAAAAGCGGCTGAGCCCGGTGGAACATCTGCGGCCACCCCGAGCGGGAAGGAGACGGCTGCTGGAGCTCGGGAAACGAAGAAGTAGAGTAGGCTTCTTTTCTTCTTTTTCTTTTTGTAAAGGACCACTGATCGGGAGCCCGGTCCCGATTTGTACCGGGCACCTTTTGATGATCAATAAAATTTCTCATGCTGTTCGTTCTTTCTTTTCGCATTTTTATCTTTAGTCGTGTAAATGCTGATCCTTAATGCTCGACCTCACGGCCTTATGGCCCGGTCTTGCGCTGCTTCGACCCACTCGACACCCGACCCTACGGCCTTACGGCCCGATCGCGCCTCCGAGACT